GTGAAACCCATTGTCGTAATCAAGTGGCTACATGTAGCCACTTGCGTGTAACCCCGTTACAGTAATCCTCTATATTGAGGTGTAGCAAGTCGACTTATCTTGCCTGGTTCGTTGGGCAGATCGTACTGCGTATGTGCCTCCTGCCGGTGTCCCGGGTTCGTCTTAGGTCACCACAACTTCAACACGATACTGGCCAACAGGACCTGACCTAGGTCCTGTGCCGGAACGTCGCCGCCCCTACTTTTTATTGAACATCCACTCAAATTCTTATTAAGTAGCCTATCAACAACTAATAGAACAACCTCCATCCTCCTCTTCCTCCCTCGATTGCTTTCAAGCGTCTTGGCTTACACACCATCCTCAGGTGCCTCCGCCAGTCAGATTTCGGGTTCTTGCCCTTCGATCGTCACGAACACGCTGTCCACCGGTACCTCCTCCCGTCAGAGTCCAGGTGCCGCTCTTCTTTCATCCTCTGGTCCCAAGCGCCACTGCACTCTAAGCACAGGTACCCGTTACTCGTTCAATTGGTACGGCAAGTCCCGCTTGCCCCTCTTCCGTCAAAGCCTCAACACAACTAATCGATCACTCTCGTCAGGTGAGCCCCACGTGCTCTCTGCCAGTATGATTCAAGAGTGAGCACCTCCTCACGTCACTGGTCGCTCGTCTTCTCGTCCGTGGACTCCTCATCCTTCCACTACGTGCGCTCTTGCGCGACAACCGCACATTCTATGCTTACGTTGGGTTCAGCTGACCCTTAGTCAATGCTGTCCACCCACTGGTCGTCCCATCGGAAATGAAAGACTTTCCTTTTAAAAGGAAACTCTATGTCATAGTTTGGCGCTCCTTTTAGGTATATTAGTATTCACCGAGCCGCTCTCCTGTGGGTCTTAGTAAAGCAAAACAGCTATTTACCAATCTTCTTAGCATAGCAAAAGCAGATATAGTACATCATATAAGGTAAATTAATAACTATATTGGGGTTACACTAGTTCTACATGGCGCACAACCTGTCAGCCAGGCCAGCCCACAATCCCGCAGAGGGTCGCGATCTGCATCCTCATTCAAGCGAATGTGCTTGCTTCACTTACTCCCAAAAGGAAGTAGTGGATAACCCCTTCGGGAATAGGTGGAACCCGGCACAGATGTACCCTAATGTCCGTATTCAGTAGGACAAACGGATTCAATGCGACAGTCGTAAAACGCCATCCTCGCAGGCTAAAAAAGGCAATATGTAATCTTTTTTTTTTAATGGTGTCATCCCCTCTCGTAGAAATACTAAATTCATATTTAGCATGAATGCGAAAAAGGAAAAAAAAGACGCCGTGAACATCAGAGAAAACATGTAATTAGCACTGGCTAACAGGTTTACTCGTCTTACACCAAAGGTGCATCAGCAGCGACGTCACCAACTCAGAAACGATCCTCTTGATCATGCGGCCTGGTTGGGATGACCCCCGATCTTTCAAATCCCTTTACAATTGTGTTGTTCTCGACAATTTCCCACGCTTCAACGACGAAACGTGACAGTAGCGCTCTCTCCTCATATGCTGAAGCTGGAAAGGGGTTATCAACGAAAACTCCGGCGGCATTCGGTTCGAAGCATTATGTCCACTGCTACCACGACCTGGAGAGCATGCGGCAGTGAACAGTTTAGACTATTTGCCTCTCGTATATATATTAGCCTTTTTATGAATTTTTTTATTGACCACAAATATTTTATCACTGTCTTACTAAATCCGGACTTTACGGTAGACACTATCGTCTAGTTTCAAATCCATGGGGTAATCGAATTTTAGCCGACCATACCTGGTACGGCCAGGTTTTGCGTGATGACCCCGCATCGATATTTGCGCACGTCCCGGTGGGGTAGCTTAGTGATTGAGCCACATATCTTATAATCACAGGCCATACAATGACCGTTGGGTCAGGGTGGGGTGATTTTCTCCGGGAAACGAAAATGTCGATCAATTTCGAGAAGCATCACCAGTCTAACCTAAGCCAGGTAGCGGCTATGGCAACCGCAGCGTACGCACAGCGTTTTCGAGCATCAGACTCGATCGATATTGGAATCGTATGCTCTCGGCAATACCGATTCAAAGAAACGCGTTGGGTAGAATCTTCCCATTGGCCGATAGTTTGGAGGTCTATTAGGAACCCGTCTTATTCTAACTGATGTCGTGGTTTCCAAGCCCCCCCCCCCGCAAACCGCCCGTTATAACCGGCTCAGACGGCTAGACAGTCGTAGACCCCTGGCGGTTCACGTCTGTTGACGATGGGCCATACTGCGTAGCGACGGTCGTCACCTATAGTTGTAGTTGTAAATACAGTCGCAGTAGTTGTAGCCGTAGTTGGTTCAGTGATATAGTTCCTGCAATAGAGGTTGCCATCCCTTCAGTTGGCAGTGTACCTTATGATATGAGACAGCCGCACTAGCGCAAGATTATTTGATCACAGGATTGATCGGCGTGTGAGAGGCCGATTGGGAAAAGAACCTGCCGCAACTTTCTTTGAACTTTCTGTTCGTTTCCGATGCTAGATCAAATTACTAAGACAGTACATCGGGCATCATGGTGAGAAGAGCAGTCTATACACAACCGCCCAGCAATCAAGGAGATCTACAGCCTGCCTACTTGCTTGCCTTGAAGTTGTCTAAACTGCCGTTGAATATTAGTCGGTCATTTGTTCCGCAGCTGCAGCATAAGTGGTCGCATCCAGGCAACGTCAACCGGCTAGTAAACTTACGTGTAATCACCGGGTGCCGTGAGTAAAATCACCTCCACTTCCTTGACACATGTCGGTATCTCAGCGGTCCAATGGTTGCTGAACTCGTCCCATATAAGATGGAACGGGACATTCGACTTGACTCGTTCCGCAAAGCGAATCATCAGACGCTCGATTGGTAAATTCGATTCCCACTAGCCTCAGCTGCTGCAGTGGACCAGCATTCCTGTTGCCGATTGCATGTTTCTCACTTTATTCCACTGGTCGCGTGCAAACCCATTCGGTAGGTGCAGTTGCATAACTTAGTGGCCTCAACCCGTGACGGTGGTTGTGAGAAGACGAGAAATGAGGACGGATTTCATCTCGGGAGTGTCCCAGGAGCAGACAATATTCTCGCAGAATGCCTGGTGTGGGGTTCAAATTAAGTAATATAGTGCTGGAGGAGCGCAAAGTGCTTCTTGCGAACCGCGAAAATGAATGGAGGTGGTTATTTTTATTTGGGGTGACGTTTGATAGGTCTTGATACATCGCCGTAATTCTGCATTTTAGTTGGCCGCTAGTTTTGGACTATCGCTTCAACGAGTGCCTTTAAATAAGATTATTACGATATGAATGTCGCGCAAAGCATGATAAAATCCAAATGTTTGCTATTTAGATAAATTATTTGCTACAGGTAAAACAGGTAATGCTAGGATTTAAAACCAGCAAGGTATTTAACCCTAAGCGTTTCTGGATGGGCCAATAATAGCAGATAATATCAGTTCATTAAAGGATATTTGATATAGAAGGGATTATTGTAGGAAATCTTTCATTAGTCAGCCGATTCTGGAAGGGAATACATTATTCACGTATTCTGACATCCGTTGCAATTACTGATTAAAATCCAGATTTGTACCTTGTGTACAGTACACTGATTATGTAATAAACACAGAATAGAGCGAGAGTCTGCTGACCACCCACTTGGCAAGGCATACAAAGACCAAGTGAGTGACGGGTCCTGAGCGCGGGTTTGATCCCGCCTCCAGGCATCCAAAACCGAACAACACGCACACTGAGGAAGACCGCGGAACTCGATCGTTCCGCCTGCTTTTCCTTGTTTCTCGCCACATCTACGCGCCGTAGACAACAAAAACTTATCAACCATGGCTGACGTGGAGGACCGCAAGCCGACGTAAGCTCACCGAAATGCTAGTTTAACTGCAATTCCCAAACGCGTCATTAACGGTCTTGTGCTTCTTTCCCAGTGAGAACGTCGAGGGGGCTCAGGAGAACGAGCAGGTGCAGCTTAATGAGGGCGACATCGAGACGAACTGGGACGAGGTGATCGAGACCTTCGACGGCATGGAGCTGCGTGAGGACCTGCTGCGCGGTATCTACGCCTACGGTTTCGAGAAGCCGTCTGCCATTCAGCAGCGCGCTGTGAAGCCCATCCTTCTGGGCCACGATTGCATTGCCCAGGCTCAGTCCGGTACTGGTAAGACTGCCACGTTCGCCGTGTCCATCCTGCAGAAGATCGACATTAACCTTAAGGAGACTCAGGCTCTGATCCTTGCCCCCACGCGTGAGCTGGCTCAGCAGATCGTTAAGGTTGTGGTTGCTATCGGCGACTACATGAGCGTGCAGGTGCACGCCTGCGTCGGTGGTACCGCTGTGCGCGACGACATCCGTACGCTTCAGCAGGGTGTGCACATCGTGGTCGGTACCCCCGGCCGTGTGGGTGACATGATCAACCGTCGTGCTCTGCGTACGGACGAAGTCAAGATGTTCGTGCTGGATGAGGCCGATGAGATGCTGTCTCGTGGTTTCAAGGACCAGATCTACGAGGTGTTCCGCTTCCTGCCCGAGAAGGTGCAGGTGGCTCTGTTCTCGGCTACCATGCCTCTGGATGTGCTTGAGGTGACTCGTCGCTTCATGCGCGAGCCTATCCGTATCCTCGTGAAGCGTGACGAACTAACCCTTGAAGGTATTAAGCAGTTCTTCATTGCCATCGACCGCGAGGAGTGGAAGTTCGACACGCTTTGCGATCTGTACGAGACGCTGACCATCACACAGGCCATCATCTACTGCAACACGCGCCGAAAAGTGGACTGGCTTACCGAGAAGATGCAGTCGAAGGACTTCACCGTGTCGGCCATGCACGGTGACATGGAGCAGCGTGAGCGTGACATCATTATGCGCGAGTTCCGCTCGGGCTCGTCGCGTGTGCTGATCACCACGGACCTGCTGGCCCGTGGTATCGATGTGCAGCAGGTGTCGCTGGTCATCAACTACGACCTGCCCACGAACCGCGAGAACTACATTCACCGTATCGGTCGTTCGGGTCGTTTCGGTCGTAAGGGTGTGGCCATCAACTTTTTGACGCACAACGACGTGCGATACCTGCGCGACATTGAGCAGTTCTACAACACGCAGATCGACGAGATGCCCATGAACGTCGCGGATCTTATTTAAGAACCCCTCTCAAGCGAACGTTCTTCAGCCAGGCTGCGCGCTGCTGCTGCGCTGCCGAGCCGTCGTCTGCGGCGGCTGAGCTTTGGAGACGGACGGTGAAGTTAAGTGAGAGACGACGGTAAAAGTGTGTGGCGCACGCGGGCCAACCAATGTAGAACCAAGTGTTAGGAGCAGTAGGGGAACGGAGGGGGTCGACGAGAGTGGTGGAAACAAGAGGCGGAGAGAAAAGAACGGCGACAAGGAGAGAGGGAGAGCGCGCGTTAAAGAAAAAAAGAGGAAGGGGGCTGTGTGTCTTCTTGTTTTGTTTCGGAAAAAAGTTTGTCTTCTTGCAGCTTAGTGGCGGTGACGCACATTGGTGTTGACTCAGTTTTCCTCTGGAGAACGTCATCATTTTGGCCGGCTGGGCATCGGTGCTTTACCCCAACATGGCTTCAAGAAATCAGGTTGCAAAGCTTAATAGGCAACTCTCCCAAGCGAAAGCTGAAGCTACAGCAGCGGCATGCTGCTGCAACTTGCAGTCTGCAAAACACCGCATTGTTAGCGTAATATACGAACACGCACCAGAGCATTTTGCTCGTGTCGGCCGAACCCATGCGATGCACAAAGCGAGCCAGAACAGCTTGGTGAAGTCCAGCCGTGTCCAGCGCGATGATTTGTCGTGCGGTTTTTCAGCCAATCATCACCAAGAGACACGCCCGACACTCGATATTCTTCCACTTCAGCATTCTCCACCAGCAACTGCCGTCTTCCCCCTCCGTCCTCTTTAAATCATGAGTGAGCCCGTGCCTAAGCAGCCCGAGGAGAGCACCAATCTGTATGAGGTGCTGGGTGTGGAGAAGTCGGCTAGTGAGTTGGAGATTAAGACCGCGTACCGCAAACTAGCGCTCAAATACCATCCGGACCGAAATGCCGGATCAGTCGAAGCGGCGGATAAATTCAAGCAGGCCAGCGCCGCCTACGCCATCTTGAGTGACCCCAACAAGCGTCGTCAGTACGATGTAGCTGGAGAGAGTGGCAAGGACATGGAGTTCGAGAGCGTGGACGTCGAGTCCATGGGCGGATTCGGCCGCGTCGTTGGTGCACTGTTTACCAAGATCGGAATGCCCATTCCCACGCAGATCTCGCAGACTGTGCTGTCCGCTGCGCGCGACTTGTGTGATGAGCGCAACAACTCAACGCAATTGCCTCAGGTCACGCAAATGGTCTTCGGAATGGAGCGCCACGCGAAGGTGGACAAACAGGACGCGCACTTCTACAAACTGCAGGTGGACAAGGACCGCGAGTCTGTCGTCTTCATGTGTCGATCGGCCAGTAAGAGCAAGTTTAAATTGGTTCTGTTCGACCAGCACGGAGCTGTGCGTATGGTGCAGGAGTCGGTCAAGAAGGCGCGCTGCACTGCTGCCGACATGTACTTATCCAGCACCGTGGAACTCATGGATCTCAACCCAGAGTTGTGGCCTGGAGCCAACAGCGACTCGGAACTGCCCGAAATCTTCAGTAAATTGTCGCTGTTTGAAGTGCGACGCACTGTGCCACTTGAGAAGGGCGAGCACTTGTTCTGCGTCTATGGAGACAACTGGCTGTCGGCTGTCAAGTACTCGATCAAGTGTCTGAAGATCGACGAGCAATCTCCAGCACTGCGCAACATCCAGCAGAGCGAACACGAGCTGGCTGGAATCAAACACGAGCTAGACGGTCTTCAGAAAGAGTACGTGGCTGCCAAGAAGGCGTTCGAGGAGGTTTGTGCACGTGTGGAGGCCAAGCAGATCCGCACGGAGGAGCTACTGCAGGAGCGCGAGCAGTCGTATGAGGCGTTCCTGGCTGGATGTGATCCCAATCAGAATGTTGGTCCTTTTGACGAAGCACGTGGTTCTAACACGTCTCAAAACGGACAAAAGGGATCATCGAATGAGTCTGCCAGCCCTGCTGGTGGCATCCGCAACATCTTTGGAGGCTTCCAGAACCGCTTCTTCGCTGGAAAGGAGCGTACCGGATCCATGGACTCTGCCAGCAACACCACCTCTCACAGTCATTAATGAGTGACAAAAAGTAGCGACATTAGATGCAGTGCAATAAGCAGAAGCTGACGACGGTAAGATGGAGACAACAGTAGGTAGGAATTCGAAGGACTCGCTCAGGTAGTAGTGATATGGATTTGACACAGTTTAGAATTTAGTAGTTGACGCTGGTTATGTTTTACAGCTCTTGTGTTGCAGCTTTAGTAGTCATCCAGTAGCCGTTGGCGCTTGGGGTCCATGTGGTCGTCAAGTTTCTTTGCCATGCAGTAGGCGTGTGCGATCCAAGGCACGAAAGCTGCAGCAAATAAAAACTGACCTACGAAGAAGGCCGTACCAAACATGGGCAGCTCGACTGCAAGGGCGTTGTAGAACCTTGCTAGCTGCGTCATGCGGCAATGTGTCGGCAGACCGCCAGACTTGGCTGCAGCTGCCGCAGCGTTGGCTGCCTCCTGTAAAGTGCAGGGTACGACGCGACCCGAAGCGTCCGCGAACATCTGATGCCCGAACGTAGCATACTGCGGCGCTAGAGTGAGTAGAGCGAATAGTCCGACCATAGCAAGCTGCATCAACACCAGCGACAGCATCGTCATCGTGGCAGCAGACGTCAGGCGCGGCTGTAATCGTCCCAGTCGGAAGCACAGGAACTGTAGACCGTGGCGCTTGAGTATTATCAACGAGATCGCGAACAGGTACACGAACAGCACAACAAAGACCACATAGTCCAGTGGGAATACACGTGATGCCAGCACCAACAGCAGATCCATCGGATTGGGGAATTCTGGTGTGTTCAAGAGGAATCCCCGCTCGAAATTGGAGTGCGCCATCTTGTCGACGCTTGTGATGAGCATTGACACCACGATCAGCAGCGACAGGATGATCAGAACGACGCCAATCGGGATCTTCCAGCAAGATAACTTGCCACTTAGAGCGAATCTCTGCAGATTGGCCTTCAGCACCTCGCGACGTTCTTCCAGAAGCTTTTCACGTGTCTTCAGTTGCGATAGTCGCTCCTGGTCTGCTCCACTCATCTGCTGCTCAACAACATATCGCTGTAGAATGGTTTCTCTCGTCTGCTTTGTTGCTTGCGTCTCCATTGCGTTCTCCTGAAGCAGATCTTCAAACGTCGTCATGTTTTCATCAATACTGTGGTCTTCCATTAACAACCCCACCAGCGGCACACTAGCTAGTCCTCGACTGCACACGAACAGCCACAAGTACATCCCAGTAAGCGCCAAAATTCCCACTAGTAATCGCAGAAACGTCTCTAGATCCGACGAAAATTTGAGCAACGGTCTTAGCCAGTCGATATCAGAACTAGCAGGTTTGCCGCAAAGGAGAACCACCATGAGCATGACCAGCAGGAACGAAAGACCCAGCAAGAAGCACGACGTGCGTTTGATAGCTGCGTAAAGACGGTCTCTGGCGGAAAACTTGAGCGTCAAGTGTGCGATCTCCGTCTGCTTGGCGTAATTGAAGGCCAGCGGCGCACCCACGAAGGAATACAGCGCTAAGGCTGCGAAATAAACCTGGTACATCACTCGGAGCGCCCGGACGTTCGATGGTACATGTGGCAACGCGTTCTCCAGTAGATAAACATCCACAGGAGCTGTAAACAAGCACAGCAGCGCTACATAGAGCGCTAGGATGCAGACGATGTTGACGAAGCGCGAGGACACAGTGAGCGGCGCTGCGCTGAGTGTGGAGGTGCCGGCGAAGGCTGCGAGCGACGAAGACGCACCGTTTTTGGGCTGTGCGTAAAGAACCAGACCCGTACTGAGGAGAAGGAGGACCAGCGCTACGCTGGCGTACAGGAGCCACACGAGGATCGCCGAAGAGTCCATGGGGACCGCGCTCATGGTCCGAGGAGCTGTCAAGAGAAGATGTTCCGCTTTGAAGTGATTCCGCTCGTTTGAAGAAGAACGTCACTTTGGTGTGATGTACACAGTTTTATATTCTGTTGCGTGGGTTGTTGTCACAAGCTTTATGAGATGCGAGATGGAAGTCTCAGCTACGAAAGGTTCTGCGCGGAGGCAGAGTTGCTGCAGAAGCGGTCGCATGAGCTGGCCAGTAAGCAGGCAGTCGGGAGTGACAAGTTTGTGGCGACATGGGAGTGGAGGCACGGTAACAGACAGGTGAGCAGCATTGATAGAGGAAGATGAAGTTGAAATGATTGTTGACTCGCATTTGTTGTGTGTGCGCGTTGAAGCATTTAGACGGAAACTCGTATCTCGTCTCGACAGGAAATTCCCGGCAATTTTGTCCGGATTCTGGCAGTGTGAAGACCACCATGGAGTTGGATGGAGATATTGACGAGCTCCTGGTGCACGACGAGGTAGGCAGAATATATCACTTCAACATGAAAACAATACTATCAATGCGTCGCTGCGTAATGAGATAACAGTCTCTAACTGGCGAATATGGCGTGGCCTTACTTAGGACAATTGGCCGGATGTCGATGAACCCCAGACGATGATGCTGCTACACTCCGGGGAAGTTGAGACAGCGTTGCTCGAATTCCACATTGTCTTCCACACTATCTATCAGACGCCGGTGTTATACTTCCGAGCTCTGGCCGTCGATGGAACGCCGCTGAATACCAACACAGTCACATGTGGCGTACAGTTCCCAGGTTCCAATGGACGACCAGCATTTGTCGGAATGGAGGAGCATCCTGTAGTGGGCAAACCGTTCTCGTTCCTGCATCCCTGTGAAACTGCAGCAGCCATGCAGCTTCTCCAAGCGCAACTCCAATCTAGCAAGTCTACTGAAGTTTCATCGGACGTGGAAATTCCTCAATATCTCGCGAGCTGGCTCAGCTTGGTGCAACCGCTGACAGGCATCTCTCCGCTAGATTATTATTCCGTATGATAGGAATTTTCATTTTTGCTTTGAATTAGTGCCATTTTTTTTCATTATAGAAAACCCACAAATGAGCAGGGAAGAGGCCGCGGCTCGTCCCCGCAAGAAGTACGCCTCACTGCGCTATGTTTATTGCATGATTAAGCTCATGTCGCTATGATCTGTGTTTCTATCGTCCAGACAGCGCGTTGGAGCCATCCCACCGCTAGCGACAGCCAGCACTCGAGCCAGGTTCGCGTTCGGTTCGCGACTTCTTGACACTGGTACAAACTTGGTGAAGAGCAACGGAAAGAAGAAACTGCGTATTTCGACTCGATCGAGTCACGAGCACGACGTGCGATCTACAGTCAACCACAGGAAAAGGAGAAGGCCCACATCACAGGACGAGGACGAAGCGACATCCGATGCAAAGTCTTCGCATCGAAAACTGACAGTGAAGACGGCGTTGCCTCGTCAGAGTAGCTACCTACCTGCTCCAACGAAAGTGTCGGCTTTGTTGAGCAGTTCAAATATCCATACGAAATCGCCGTCAAATGGGACTTTTAGACTCAAGAACCAGGAATCGACCAAAGAGGGAGAGGTGGTAGCAGACATGGGTGAGTGTGACGAACGCAAGCAATTCAGAATGCTGGGCTTCATTTCTGACGTTGATCTTGTTTCGTGATTCGGTTGCAGCTACCACTGAACCTGAATTTTGGATCACGCGTCGAAAAATGATGGAGACGGCGCTGAAGGAGCTGGACGCGATCGAGTACGTTTACGTGATAGCTATTGTAATGTGTTGCCCTATTGCTTACTGGTTGCTGGTCATGCCGCCGTGCTCGTGAAGGAACCGGATCAAGACGATTATCTAATAGACTGGCGTTGGAATTGCTCTCGTACATACGACGTTGCTTTGGTAGCTATTATATGTGCACGCGTAAGTTCTAAAGTGAGTTTAAATCCATAGCATCGTGTTGTGTTTCTTAACACTTGTGGCGGAAAATAAAACGAGCGTTTAGCAACGTTCGTATCCACACTACCGGAACGCATCAAACCTAATAAATGGCATAAAGGTGATGCTGCAAGCAAAGTGATCGCATTCAGCCGCATTTCAAGTTTCTCCCGGCGCAAGACAGCAGACTTATTGAGCTTGAAGATGCTGGCATCACCGTGGCAGGTATACCGCGCAAACACGTTGAATTCTAGTGGTGACCAACTGATCGTCTTGGTCGATTCGTAGAAATATCAATTGGCGCTGCAGACGAATCCACTACGGTGCGTCTTTTTCATGAGCTTACGTTGAACTACTTCTGAAGGCAGCGATACTATGTGGAAAAGCAGTCTTCATGCATCGTGTTCTGTGTAATGTTGCTATCAGGACGAAGGCGCTGACGTCTGCGGGGGTGGCGATGTTAGGAGAAGTTCTTGGTACGAGCCATGCTTCCGAGATGGTCGTCACAACTAAATAATATGCTGACTTTGCGCAATGCGTTACCAGGTCATGTGCTGAAGCATAAAACGCTGCGTGTGTGTAAATCCGCGTACTTCCTTTGGAACTGCCAAGGACTTAGTGACTGATTATTTGTGTCTTCGATCATACAGGGTCTCTCACCTCGGCAAATGCTCGCATTCTTTGCATTTGGGTGAGTTAAGGCTGTACTTGTGCTATTGCATTTGGTCAAGCTCTAGATTTTTGCATTTGTGTATGCAGTGGTGTCGTAACTGGTCCGGTCTTGCACTTCTGGTACGGGTATCTTGAAACTCAACGCGTGGCGAAGAAGAAATTGGTACAGAAGATTGCACAGTGCACCATGTTGGACACTTTCACCTAAAGCGGTCACCTTGCATTGTACAGACTCCCAACAGAAAGCTACTGCTCGATCGCCTCCTCTTCACACCACCCATGGTGGCATTTACCATTTTCTCGGTATGTTACAAATTATTGCCGTGCTGTAACAATTCGCTAACATGTGAAATTCTTGTTAGCTCGGAATTATGCGTGGCTCGAGTCCTAAAGCCTCACGCGAAAACCTCTCGCGCGTGTACTGGAACGCGCTGCTTATGAATTGGAAGGTGTGGACGCTAACACAGTGGTTGTCCTTCCACTGCGTCCCGCCGCAGTTTCGCGTGCTATGGGGTACGTTGGAAGTTTTCTTCTGGTCTGGAGGCGTCTCACTAATGTATGATTTTCCGTTGGGAACAGGCAACTGCGTTGCGCTTTGGTGGAATTCGTACTTGTCGCTCACACAGAAATAGTAGGAAGAGACTGCACCCATACGACTGGCACAGGAATTATCTTGTGTCTTGCAAATGGCTACATCCAGTGCAACTACAAGATGACCATCACTCTAGTTTTCTCAAGTCGCAGTTTGTCTTACCGAAACTCCAATCCTACATTATTTGATACAATCAATACAACAGGATATGCGATTTACTGACTTTGTTTTCCTTACATTTAACGTGAAATAGTCACTCTCCACAATATGCGTTATTATAGGTTCAATAGATCTCACATCGTGGTCGCAAAACCATTCCATTTCTACTCGGCATTCCCTCGCTTGCCAACAAGTGCACAATTGATACTTCGTGACCGTCCGCAGCTCTTGCGCTCTGACCCCCCTCCCAACCATGGCCGAAGCCCCGCAGAGCGTGCCATCGCTGGCTGCGCTGTGCGTGGCGCGCTTGGCCATGGGCGCTCCACAGCGTGCACTACTGAGCATCCTTCGGTGAGTTTTCCGGTTCCTCGCTTGGATCTAAAAGTGCTGACGGAATCGGTGTCTAATGCAATGCGCAGTCGTCTACCAGAGGAGCTGGTGCTGAAGCTGCTGGCCGATATGATCGCGTCCAAGACGCTGACGGATGACCGTCTCGCGGCCTTCTTCATGATCTCTCGTCGCGTGTTGAACCTCTCGGGCTGTTGCGCAATCCGTAACTCGATCCTACGCCAGATCCCCTTCCGTTGCCCGGAGTTGGTACGCATAAAAGTTTTGTTAGTGGAGAGATGAAGGTACTGATTGCTTGGTATGTTGCAGCGCTGTCTGGATCTGTCAAACTGTCCTCAAGTCACCAACACGGTGATCCGTGCGGTGCTGCAAGGTTGCTCCAACCTGCAGACGCTGCAGCTGGATGGATGCCGTCACATCACTGACGCCGCGTTTCAGCCGGATCACTCGCCATTCTACGCGCTGCACGCGTGTACATCACTGAAGGTCGTGAGCTTCGCGCGCTGCTCGCAGTTGACAAAGGACCTCGTCCTGTTCCTGGTCAAAGCTTGCCGATCCCTCATCGACATTAATTTCTCGCGATGCAAGGTGAGTCTAGATGAAGGAACTGAAATTTATATCATGGACTGCTGCTGACATTTTTGTTTTCCTGCAGCGCATTCATGACGATGCGATCCACTTGCTGCTTCGCTCGGCTACCGACTTGCAACGACTGAACTTGTCGTTCATGGACATCACGGACAAGGCGTTTACAACGGAGCCATCGGACCAACGCAATGGCTTCTACGCCATGGGTCGCGCTCTCCGTGCTATCGACCTCACACAAAGCAGCATCACCGACGTCACATTATTTGCTTTGGCGAAGCATTGCCCACACCTCGAGGAAGTGAAACTCAGCTGCTGCAGCGAGATGACGGACGTGGGTATCGAAGCGCTCGTGCGCTCCTGCAGACGTCTGCGTGTGTTAGATCTGAATAACTGCGCGTTAATCACTGACCGTGGTGTCGGAATGATTGGAGCTTACGGCCAGCAACTGGAACGATTGAACTTGTCGTGGTGCATGAATATCACCGACAAGAGCGTCGTGGATATTGCTAGCGGTTGCGAGAACTTGCAGGAATTGTTGCTGGTGTGGTGCACGCAGCTCACTGATGCCTCGATCGACGCGTTCCTGCCTGATGATGCAACAGCGAGGACCCAAGTTCTGAAGCTCAACTTCAGCGGGTGCAAGGGGATCAGCGCCGCACACGTAGAGATTGCTCGCACCAAGGGGCTGGATATCGTTACTGGCTCCTAACGCCGAAGCGCTGGTGCTCCCCACTCAAGCAAGCAGCCGCGCAATTTAGATGATCCACAGACGTATAGCTATCTATTTATTATGCACGAAGTGTACCGAAAAACGTGAGCAAGTGAAGTTGTTGTTGTCTCCCAAGTTGCTATATAATCTGTGACGTGTGTCGCGAAGGCGTAAATAGAAATGTTTCTAAAACAGAGCATTTCTATAGCCGGACTGGCGTCCCCACGTGGCAATTGCTTTGAAGCTCTCGATCGCAACATGTCTTGGCGGCGCTTCGACCTCAACGTCAAGGGCGTGGAGGGCATCCAGGAGCGCACCATCGGCGGAGGTGTCGTGACGCTCGTGAGCTGCATAGTGGTGGCTTTCTTGCTGCTGTCCGAGTTCTCAGTCTGGTGGACTGTGAGCGTAACGCACCGCATGCATGTGGACACAGACCCAGTAAGTATATTTCTTAAGCTATTGCGGCGAGAATAATTATACCTAACACTCTAAGTATTGCTCGGGAAGCAGCAAGACTTCCCTATTAACATTGAAGTGGACGTTTCCTTCCTCCACGAGGCATGCAAAGGTGATTTAATGACGTCTACAGCGTTGGAATGAGTGAATACTGAGAAGTAATTGCTAATTGACAGAGGTGGCGATGGACGTAAGCGACTCCAAAGGCCACAAGGAGATTATGCTCAAGAAGGATATCCAGGAGGAGCCTTTTGGAGAAAATGGTTGCAGACTTCATGGCACAGTGCAGGTGCAGAAGGTGGCGGGCGACTTGTCCTTCGCTCATGAGGGCTCGCTCACCGTCTTCTCGTTCTTCGACTTCCTCAACTTCAACTCTTCCCACGTAGTCAACCATCTGCGCTTCGGTCCGCAGATCCCAGACATGGAGACGCCCCTGATCGACGTCAGCAAGATCATTACTAAAAACCGTACGGAGAAAGTTCTGGCTACTGCCTCTAGTGTCGTGGCTGAACTAACGGTGTTTGTTACGTTGAATTTTGTAGTGGCCACGTACAAGTATTTTGTGAGTATCGTGCCTAGTCGCTACGTGTATCTGAACGGCAGATCGGTCACAACGTTCCAGTACTCGGTGACGGAGCACGAGACGAGTTCAAGAGGTCCGAATGGCCAGGTGTCATTCCCTGGTGTGATTTTTTCCTACGAGTTTTCTCCCATTGCTGTGGAATACATTGAATCCAAGCCGTCTGTACTACACTTCCTCACCAGTACCAGTGCCATCGTGGGTGGCGTCTTCGCTGTCGCTCGTATGATCGACGGTGCAATCTACAGCGTCTCCAAAAAAGTCGATTAGATTTTGCAAATACACGGCAACAAGTACACTGAATGACTGAATATGTCGCCACTGCTTTTTCGACGAAAACACGAGTTTGCGGTTTTGTTTCCTGTTAGGACATCGACACCTATTGTACATTGTGCTGCTCATTATTCCCGGTCTTACACGATCTCTTGGACATTGTTAAGTGATGTCTGCTGCGACTTCATCGCGTTCTTCCTTACAACTTCAAGGCGCTGTTGTAACTCCGACTTCTGGTCGTCCAATTCGTCATCACCATTGCCTACCAGATCGTCATGGAGGGACGACAATAGAGCCATCGCTTGTTGATCAGGTAATTCATTTACCACTGCAGCCACATCAGCAATAATTTCTTGTGCGAGGTTTCTCTTCTGCTCACGAGAATCAAACACAATGGCAGCATAGGCCAATGCAGTTTTCTCCACGACACGGACGACGGCAGATAAGGGCAAAAGTCCCAGCACGTACAGGTGAAAGCTTGCGCCAATGTAAGTGCGGAAAGAGTGAATGCCGCTCTGGTTGCACTCTTTCCCACGGTACGAATGCTGACTCAGCGGTTTGCCTGTGGCGTGGTTGCGAATCACGTCGTGGATCAGCACAGCAGATACAGCGTACAAGTGCGGATTCTTCAGCAACTCCTTGCCCAGATCGATGTCACCCTGGCCGTTGTCACCCACGAATACAAACCGATGCTCTGCAAACACGCGCTTGAATCGAACAAAATTCTGACCATGATGACAATAATAATTCGCACATCATTTTGAATTAATATCTGACAAGCTTTACGTACCCGAAGTTTTCCTGACGCAATGCGTTGTGATCCCCACATATTGGCGAAGCGACCCATTAAAACTGAAGGTAGCACGAAGGATTCCGTTTAGTATAACCATATAAAATCATTCTGGACCGTTACGTACGTGTGAAGTGCTGGAACCCGCAAGCACGAAGTTCTTGTAAGGATCGCTTGCGTAAAAATTCAGGCCTCGCAGTGAGGAAAGCTACACGCTGCACATCCTTTGGTTTCTTCGATCCGGCAGTAATCCCAGCCTCAAGGTCATCGTTGTCATCGCTATCTTCACGTTCGTATCCACTATGTCGGTCAGCGGTATCAGCTGAAATTGTAGCCGAGCGTCGAAGCAGTTCTTGAGCAAATTGATGAACACCTGGATACACCGTAAGCTCTGGGTAGCGCGTGTCGAAGAGTGCGGCCAGCATTGTGTCGTCGATGTCACTAAAGAAATCATTCAAATAACTACCAGTTAGTCTGATAATAAGCGCAATACCAGTGGTAAATACTCACCACAATAGCTTGATCGGTGCGAAGAACTTCGGCGACGTACGCAGCGCCGCTGCTTCTGCTTCGAAATGCTTTAGAATAGCCTCGCGCTCCGTATCCGACCGAATACGATGATAGATCAAGTCGAACATGGGGAACTTGGTATCCACCTTGTTCTTCAGCTGCAAACACGCCATACTCTTCTTGGCACAGAAGCAATCCCGGATGCACGTAACGACATCAGACTCGGCCGCGTACTTTTGCAGTGACAAAATGATCGTGGCCAGGGTGTTGACACTCAACACTGGCAGCTCCAGCCTCGTACTACAGAAATGTGCAAAGTGTTGCGCCTTGACCTTGGAATTGAGCAGTCGGTGCATGTCGATCACCTTAATGAACGCCTCGGTCTCCCGCGGGGTCTCACACTTCGCCAGCTCCGCGATCGTGTCGGTGTACAGCGGAATCTTGCCGGTATATCTCACCCCTGACAGCATAACCCGTTAGTACTTGCAGTACTTTAATATAATTATAAAAGTTATTGCCACGCACGAGCTTTACGGCCGACAGCCAGCAGAGCTTCGCGTTCTCCGTCTGACCCCGAGACGGAGATGTGCGGCCGATGTGGCGCCTTGAACGACGAACGCAGCATGCGTAGAGGGTCAACGCCATGACACAGCAGCACTACGCACAAGCATAGCAGCAGAAGGAACAGGATGATAAACGGCAGCGACAGCTCCAGCTCCCGCGTCGAGTCCATGGAGCTCCAAATGACGGTAGAGGTTGCTGGAATATTGGCACAACAGTCTCACTTTCGATTTTTTAACTTGAACAAAGTAACGTGGTAAAATAAAATATTTAGATTACCGAGTGCAAATTATCAACCGCTCATTTGACAAGTAAAAAGCATGTGGAGCGTAGCTACTCGTCGATGGGCGGCGCGTGCTGCCAGTTCGCGCAATGCGCGCGCGTCTGCATTCGCCGCAAACTTCTCGTCGTCTGGCGAATCGAAGGACGAGAAACTCGAGGCGCAGGTGAAGAAATGGCAGCAGCAGAAGCCCGAAGATAAAGCCAAGTTCCTGTCCGTGCAGGTGGACCGCTCGGCACTGAAGCAGCCGGGTGCACTGGCCAGCAACGTGCCTGTGGACCTGCCACAGGGCAAGAGCAAGGAAAACTCGCTGGTGCATGTGCTACGCTCCATGATCGAGGTCAAAGGCCCTCTCACGGTGGCCGAGTTCATGTCCCGCGCTCTGAGCCACCCGGACCATGGCTACTACATGAAGAAAGACGTGTTCGGCAGTCAAGGAGACTTCACCACGGCGCCTGAGATCAGTCAGATGTTCGGCGAACTCATTGCGGTCTGGTGCGTAGCGACGTGGCAGCAAATGGGCATGCCCAGCCACATCAAGATCGTGGAAATGGGTCCAGGACGAGGTTCCCTAATGAGCGATTTCCTCCGAGCCGCCAAGTCGTTCCCGCCATTCTACGAAGCCATTGAAATCCACATGGTAGATATTAGTCCAGGTACGGCTGCTGTGCGTAGCAGGTTTTGATGATAAGAGTACTGACATTGTTGGAATCGTGCTTGCTCAGCGATGCAGAAGATTCAGCAGGAGACGCTTAAATGCGAGCCGATCGAAGACAAAACGGTGCCGGAGAACACGATGCGGCTGCCGGATAACGGACCTACTGTTCGCTGGCATGCAGACTTTGCCAACGTGCCGCATGGCCCGAGTTTGATGATCGCGCAGGAACTATTTGATGCTCTGCCAGTGCATCAGTTCGAATACACAGATCGGTACGTTTGTCAGTGAGCTTTCAAGACAAGTGACAGTATAATTGACAGTCGATTACAGTGGCTGGCGTGAGCGTCTAGTGGACATCGACTTCGAAGACGGCGGCGACCATTTCCGCTTCGTGTTGTCGCCTGGTCCGACACCAGCGACGCGCGTGTACATTGGACGGGAGAAACTATTCGACCCGTCGACGGCTTTATCACACGTGGCTGAAACGCATATCTCTGGTGTTGAAGACCTCAAGAAGATGCAAGACACGGTAGTGCAGCGCTTGGACGTCGCGGACGTGGCTGGCACACCTGTACACACGCCACAGGCTAAGGTCGGTGACAAGATTGAGATCTCGCCTGTTAGTATCGCTCTAGTGCAGGACATGGCCAAGCGCATCTCGCAGTCAGGAGGTGGCGCTCTGATCGTGGACTATGGCTACGATCACCCGTCGGAGCTCAGTCTTCGAGGTATTAAGAACCACGAGTTCGTCAGTGTACTGCGTGAACCAGGTGATGTGGATCTGAGTATCGACGTGGACTTCGCGACGCTGCGTCGATTCGCTACTACTGAATCCAAAGTCAAGGGCTCGGGTCCAGTCGGTCAAGGAACATTTCTGAAGAACATGGGCATCGAGCACCGTCTCGCCATGTTGCTGCAGAATACCGAGTCGGAGAAGGTTCAGCAGGACTTGTTCTCTTCGTACGAGCGTCTCGTGGAGCCTGAGCAGATGGGTACAATCTTTAAGGCCATGGCGCTGACACACGAAGATATCGGCCAGCCCGTGGGCTTCGAAGAGATTCCGACGGAGTCTACCGAGCAGTAGACCCTGCAAGGTTAAAAAAAAAACAATAGAGCGAAGTTTGTGTCTAAAACTGACAAATATTTCGTTTTTGCTCATTTTTGCGCCAAAACAAAGTCGTAATTTATAGCATTAGCAGCCTAAAACCACTAGAGTACCATCCATACAAGTCGACCTGCTTACAGCTTAAGAGGGCCGCGGTTGGGGTAGTACTTCTCGTGGTTGCCGTCCGGGCGGAGCGAGCCGTTGTTGCGCATCTCGGCGTACACCTCACGCTCGTACTTGGTGAAACCCCACTTCTTGGAGCCCAGCACTTTCTGGCGACCAGGGAATTTGAACTTGGCACGACGCAGAGCCTCCACGACCGAGGGGCCGAACGAGTCCTTCGAACGCACCGAGATAATGGGCTGGCCGATGGCCACACGGGCAGCAACACCCGAGGGCTTACCGTAAGCGTGACGCATACCGGTCTGCAGTCTATCGGCACCGGCGCACGAAAGCATCTTGTTGATACGCAGGACCTGGAACGGGTGGCAACGGATGCGCATGTGGAAGTTGTCCTTACCGCAGTACTTGGTCAGGTAACGGTTAGCAGCAACACGGGCAGCCTCAAGAGCCTCTGAGGACAGCTGCTCCTTCTCGTCGGACACCAGGTGAGCAACGAACGGGAAGGCGTCGACCGAAGCCTTCTTGTTACCGACATCGTAGATGCGGATCTTCGGGTCGGGCACACCACGGCAGAAGCGCGACTTAATGAACGGCTTCTTGTTCTGGAAACGGTAACACTTAGCAGGACGGCGACCCATGTTGACTTATTTGGCAAATACCACAATGAACGACCGAGAGGGAGGCCTGCCAAAGGCGCTCCAGTCCACTCAGTTCGGGTATCTTCTTCGCAGCGGATTGGATGAAATTAGAGAGAAAACGCTGGCGGTTGGTGAAAAAGAATAAAAGTTTAAGTCATCAATGAGAGTGACGCAAGCATACGAGACATGATTGGGAGAAAAAGAAAAAAGATGACTTCATCTTCTTCGGTCTGTGATTGGATGAAAAGATGTTGAAGTGGCATGCGTGAGTGATGTTCATTCCTGACAAGAACAAGAAAAATACTTAAGTTGCGACCTTGACGCGACCGCGGCGTAGATATGAAGCAGTGTTGCGTCGTGTGGAGAACAGCAATCGCCACATAGATCGACGTCTCCTTGTCTTAGATCTCCCAGACGAAATCATCTTGGCATCGATAGGTTCGAGCGCAAAGAGAGGCTTGGAGTTATGCGAAAGGATCCGCGAGTACTCGGTAAATATATAAACATATATATATATATATATATATATATATTGTAGCCTGCCCTAATGGCAACAAAGATGAGTTTTTTGTTCCGATCACTGTTTTGCCTGCACTCGATTATTGCCATTGGCGCCGTGATCGTGCCTACGATGTATCACCGCTGGAAACGTGATACCGTTTTACAGCGGTGACTCACATTGTTGCGCTTCGTCGTAGCGTTACAGGTCAAACAGGCACTGGATAGCGAGACGTTGAATTAACCCTCTTATCCAACGGCAGAAACAAGAGCAATGACAAGATTGTCTTATCGTGCTCGTACAAAATGACAATCTGTCTTTGGTTGGCAAACACAAAGCGCTACAATATGGAACGTCCTTGTTTTTGCCAGCAATTGTGCCAGCATCTATCAGATTATCGCGACGGGCAGTCGATGCCTGTAGTGCTCCACCAGCAATAGAATTGCATGCGTTTCATATACGTGTATTGCACCACTGGTATCGCACCAGTGAGAACGTATGTATTATTTCGGGCAACCTCTGTCGTGCTCCTGATAGTTTACAGATCGGCGCAGAAGTTCACGCCCGATTTCTTGTCATCTTTTTCTGAATGTACCACAACGCAGATTCACTGATACCATCACGTCTGTTTACCAGGTCTGCTTTTGCAGCGGCATTATTTGGGCTGGTGCACGCGGCCCATCCGCGTGGGTTTCTGTCGTCGCCCTTCATACGAGCGCTTGGGCGGTTGACGCTGGCGGAAACTGTCCTTCTTCTTAAGACCCTGCGGCCGCTCTTCTTCGTCATTGATCGTGCGTTCGTGGTACTCGTCGTGGTGCATACGCTTCTGCTCCAGCACCTTGACGGTCTCGCGCAGATGCACCGAGTTCTCCACATCGTGGATGAGGTGGTTGATGCGCTCCATCTCCTCCAGGTGGTGGCGCTCCTTGGCCGGCAGCTTCACGGAGCTGAGCGAGTCCGCATGTTCGTATTCCTGCAGCAGCACGAATCCGTTGTCGCCTGGTTCAGCCGCCACCGGCATGTTATAGTGGAAGCGGTTGTTCTTGGGGCTCCAGCGCAGACGCGGGATCGAGTCCAGGAAGACGCTGTCGTTGTCGACCATCATGGACATCGTCGCCATCGTGGAGCGATAAAAGAGGGTTTCTTGCCGAAAACTTGGCTTGGCTTGTTACTTGCTTTTTGTGAAGTGAGGATGAGACCCGTGGAAAAACATAGAGCCTTGTTGAAGCTCCCACCAAGCCCGCTGATTGGTTACATTTTTATTTTGCAACCAAAGAAACGATCCAAAATTCAGGATTTTATTTTTGTTTTTGGGAAATCGATGGCAGCACCACCATCTTCAACTTTGGGATCTGTGGGGGCAAAAGTGGTGCGCTGTGTGAGGTGCTGAGCGCGGTAGGGGCAGCTACGATGAACTCGGTCTTGGTAGCCACTTGGTGCCAACTTCGTGTGCCGCCCCCAATCACTTTCTGTGAGCTGGATCTACCCGGCGGTGGAGTCTTGAGTCGAGGGCGATCGATTGGCAATGGATCCGTAATTTGGGTTTCAGTAGATACGTCACAATCTGGTGCAGCTGTGAGGAAACTGAAGGCGCCAGGCCTTGTTAGCAGATCGGCATCACTGTTGATGGTCAATGGACGATTGTCGTTGCCTTCTGCGGGGTCTATAATGCCTAATTGAGCCTGCATTGCCTTTCGGATCTCGAGCCAATCGTCAATTTGTGGCGATTGAGGTGCATTCACTGCTTTCTGCTGTATTCGAGGCTTCCTCACCTTCAGGTCGTTGAGAGATGACGAGTGGGTCATTGACGGTACTGGGCTTGTTAGGACGCTGTAGGGTGCACACTGCTTCATGGGGCTCCACAAACCTCTGGGCTGACGCCGTTGCTGGAGGAACGAGCTGACGGCGCAATAATTTTGAGCCGAAATATGAGCGGGTGATGTGAGCACGTAGTTGGCGTCCAGAGTGTCGTTGGCACTAAAAATCTCGATCGGTTTGGTGTGGCTTGACGACGGGGTTAAGTTGTTCCGCTCGCGATTCATGTTTTCCAGCATTTGAGGTGTCACGAAATGGTTGGGGAACCCCTGGTTGCGTGCTGCTCCATGGCGATGAAACGCTTCACTGTCGCGGTGCAACTTGCCGATTCGCGTGTTGTTTGCACTAGAGACGTCAGATTTGGTGCGTTGATAACTCGTCGATAATTCCAAAGCTTGGTACTCTGTGAGGTAGTTGACGCGCCATATACTGCTGGAGACTCGAAATATCTGCTCTAGTGCGATCGTAATCGACCGAGATGTATCTGCAGGCAAAAAGCCTACGACGAATAATCCGTCCGCAGACAGGAACTGGATCTTCACGAATTGTTTCGAGTTAATTTCGACCCAGTCTCCTGGCTTCGGCTTCCGTTTGGCTGCACTATCTGTTGACCTCATTTGTTCCAGGTTGGCAACACACGGCGGTGAGTCTGACACCCTTTCCGGTGAAAAGGGTGGATTACCAACGCTGTCGTGTAAATTCTCGCAGTCTCGTGACACTGCATTACGTTTCCAAGTAATATTGAGGCCACTATTGAATTTTGGGGAACGAGACGCAGTCTTGTGCTTGAGTACGGCAACACTCGGTACAACCACTTCGCGCCCGCCTTTAGTTGCAGTACCTACTGGTGCTGACTCTGCAGCCCGGATCAAAGGCATGAGGTCACGAAAGATAGTCTCCCGTTTTCCTTTACCCTTGACTTTTACAGTCTCTAGATCGGGGAAAGAGGCGACATTGGATAACATTTTGATCACTCGGCGACACCGTATCGTTGTTGCTTCTGGATCCAAGTCTCTTGAGGTCAGTAGGGTTGTAAAAAGCGGTGGGATAGCTCCGAGAAGTTCGCTTTCGTCCTTAAAGCCCGTGCTTTCGACTTCTGGCTTGAATTCTTCCCGCATTTTTTGTTCTCTGTCAAGTGAAACTTGTCGAACGATAGCGATCAATGTCACCAGTGCGTATGGAGGGAGATTGACGATATCTCGGATAGCTTCGGACGGAAATTGTGGACTATCTAGCTGCTTAATTGCCAAGGCTTCGGACAAGAGTACTTTTGGAAACCGGAATTGAAGGAAAACAGCTAATAGGGCGATGACTTCTATTCGTGTTCGGCGTGTAAGCGCTAGCACCTCGTCCAGCCATATCTTCGGCATCCATCGCGAATTAGGCGCTTGTTTGGAAGGTGCAAAATGGCAATACAAATTGTGGACGACACTTTCAGCATTGTGAAACGAAACAATGGCGTACAATCTTCTCAAATCAGGTGACTCGTATGGGTTTACACGTTTGTGGGCGATATCAATGAGAGTTGCGCAAGGAGTTAACTCTGCGGTGTCTTCTTTCGAGATTTCCGATACCCATACGTCAGTTGCTGAGCCAAATTTGAAGTCCGCTGAGGTTGATCTTTGCGGTTGTTCGAGTAGGTTTATAACGAATTCGTCAAATTCCTCGATCGCTTGTTGCCTTTCAACTGTAGAAACGAAATGGGTATCAAAAATCCACACATTTGGTAGCAGTGCCACTACCTTTTTCCGATAATCGTCAATTGCGTTGCCTTTCAACAGACCATCATTCCCGGCTAACCGTAACTCCAGCAAATGTTGATCTCGTAGGCAAACCAAATCCTCAAAACCGATGCGATTTCGTTCGAGATGTAAGAAACCCAACGCTCGAAAAGATGTCAATGCGTGAAGATTTTTGAGTAAATTCCCATTGAGGTCGATGCGCCACAGTTTCCTCAACTCGATGATCCCTTCAAAGTCTTTGATGTGGTTGCTATCGGCATACAGCGATCGGAGGTTTTTACACAATCCAAGATGTTTAATGCACTCGATATCCGCACTGGAGAGGTGAAGTACCAGTAGATCTGGTAGAGGTGCCTTGGCTCGCGCGCGGATCAACGAAGCTTCCGGTGCTCTCATTTCGTTTTCGTCATACGCTTAAGCCTGAGTTTAAAAAATAGCGTGGCTTTATTTATCGATTAGTACTACCTCAAAAAGTACTACATCTGGGTGCAGTACACATTCACTTTTAGTTGTTCTACATGCTAAGTTGTTCACGCTACATGTAGCATTATTGAATACTTCAGAAGTAGACTTTGGGAATTATTTCTACTTAGCTGGCGAAATTAAACGCGTCGACACTCTGTCCTTTGCGGGGTATGATGGTCTGGGCAAGACGATGAGTTTTTCTTCTGGCTGTCTGACTCGAAGTAGCTCTAGTAGAGACCATGTCCAACTCCGAGTTGGCTATTCGGTTCAGCTGCTCGATCGATTCTTCAGAACCTGGTGCTACACCAGTCTCACCTTCGGTTTGCTGCAGGGCACCTTTGACTTGCTTTTTCTTCTTTTTGGCAATCTTGTCGACAAATCCGAAAGGTAGTTCGCTTTGCTGGTTTGTCCGAAGAGCAAAACTGTGGCTCCACATTTCATCGTAGTTGATAGTAGGGCCCTTGTCACGGGCGGTGAAGCTCATGGTTGGCGTCGCATGCGGAGAAAATGCAGGTTGGCTTTGCACTCGGATCATCGATGATAGCGCTGTGACTGCCGTTGGTGCAGTCTTGGCACGTTGCTCGTCCATACGTCGTGTAGCCTCCCTCTCTGTGAGCTCCATGCATCTTGACTTCCATTTATTGCAACGTTTCTTTATGAAATCAAGAGGTTTGTTAGCTGGCAGTGAAGTTGTTGGCTTGAAGGCGGCTCTTACCTGCGTAAGCTCGTGTAGTTTTTGCAGATGTTGATTGTCGTGGCGAAGATCTTCAATCACTTTGTTTGTGTGCTCCTTCCACTCATGCTCCTCTTTATGCACGTCTTCCTTGAGTTTGTCAATCGTTCGTGCAGCGGTAAGATGCATTTTCTTCATTGTGGCCACTTCTTGCAAGCGAAGGTGGCTCTCCTGCTCCAATATTTCATTCTCTACTTTCTGCGAGGATACAGTGACAACATATCACGTCTTAAAAACTGAACAAGCCAGCTCAAATGAAAGGCGTACCATTCTCTGGAAGTGCTTTGCCTGCTGTGTAAATCGGTGCATTAGGTTGTCAACACCGATGCTTTGCAGCTGTAACTCGTCCTTCAGTTTAGCATTAGCTACTAAAGCATTCTTTACAACAACAGCAAACAAGATCTCATCAGAAAGTTTAAGCGCAGCGAAAAAAAACTAGCCCAGTCTAACGCACCTTGCTTTCTTCCGACATAGCGTTAAAGGCTTTCTTGAGGTAATCAGCATCGAGCTCTTGAAGCGCTTTCCGAAATGTCTACAGACATCGAAGGCCCAAGTTACACTATCTGCACAAGTCGGCCAGAGCATTGTAACAAGTTGTGCGAGAATTTACCTTTTCAAGTGCCATCTTGTGGTTAAACATGTCCAGACGCACTTTGTGGATTTCTTCAGCGTGAGTCTTGTTTTCCTGCTCCATCTCCTGCATCAGTTCTTCTACACGATCGCGTAGCTTGCCATTTGCTGCTTCCAGCACGTCGTACGCCTCCACATGCAGCTCCAATTGGCAAACCTGACGACGCAATACCTCAATCTCGTGCCCAGCTTGTTGTTTCTGTGTCGCATGCTCATCTTCCAGTAATCTTAACATTTCCTGGTGTTTTTCAGCTTCTCGTTGTAGCAGATTCTCCATCGCGTTGATTTGGTCCTGCTTGCTCTTATTGTCGCGAGTCATTCGTTCAATGATCTTGGCTTCTTCTCGCAATTGAGCCTCTGCTTCCTCCACTCTTTTGCGAAGCTCATCCGTATTAAAACAAAACCAACAAATGGTTAAGGCCACTAGCAAGACGATTCGATCCATACAACGTGCAAGGGGGAAATTATTCAGTGGTAAAAGGATATTCATTCGTGGCGATTGCGGCATTCGTGGTTGACGCTGCTGCCTTTTTGTTTCTACACCGAGCAGATGACAGTAGTTAGTCGAGTGTCGAATCGAAGAGCAAGTCGAAAGACCCAACACGAGCAGAGGCCTCGAGTATCACTCGCACGCGTACTTCTTTTTGGGGCCCATACTGGAAAATAGCACCGCTTAGCAAAACACCATTTGCATCAACGCACCCCAAATAGTTGTTTGGGCGTTTCGGTTGAGGTAGTCGACAATGTGGTCATTCATTATATCGGTGATCATCGTGAAATTGCATGACTCGCCACCTCGGCATACATGTATGGATAGGTAGAAAAGCAAATTGAGGTTCAATTTCCGCAGTTCAAAGGTTGAGTCTAACATTTGAACTATTTAAGATCCAGGGATGGTTATTGAACCATTCCGCATGGATTGAGACGAGAGTTCTTCCACGACAAAAATTGTTGTCCTCGCTCACGACGTTGCGAGGCATGGGTTCGGTGTAGCTTTGTGTCGCTGGTGGTGGAATGTGAATATTTTCCTACACGAGTGAAAGTCAATAAGCTCGATTTCGATGGACGACAACCCACTGCAACCTGCACCAAGTCGACTGGAGATGCCAACCAGACCCTTTCCGGTGAGTACTTTCGCCTGCAACGCTAAATTATTTGACAACCGTCTCTCGAAGCCTAAATATTGGAAATTACAGTGATCAGCGGAAGTGTCTCCCCCTTCACCATCCGGTTTGTATGCCCAGCTCAACGAATGCCTGCAAGCGACCAGGACATTCACAGATCTGCCGGGTTGGTGTTCGTACGTGACTTTACATCGACGAGGTGAAGAAGGAACCTGCAGGACCAGTGGTTAATTATCGGTGTTATTATAGAAGTGAACTATGCGTGCTCCGATGAAGCTTGCGCTTGTGATGGCCGTGGCCTCGGCTACTATTTCGTCCACGGCCGCCTTCACGTTTGAGGACTCGAAAGTAGCAGGTGAAAGCGACAGCGTCGGAGTTGTTATGCCTGCGGACGTTTCGCTGGAGAACAAGGCCATGACCAAGAAGAAGGGCCTTGAAACAGGTGCCGACACTCCAGCGCCGACGTTCGCTGAAGACGCCACTCAAACAGTGCAGCAGACAGAATCAACGGACCAAACCGAACAAACGGCCATCAAAGCCGACACCTCGTTAGAAAACACCGCCGTGACTGCCAAGAAAAAAGGCATCAACACCGATGCGACCCCGGCACCTACTTTCTCGGATGACACCTCGACGGAGACTGTGCAGCAAACGGAAGTCACTCCCGCTCCGACCGATGACACCTACACGCAAGAGACCGAACCTACGCCGGCGCCGGCAAAGACTCCTTGCCCGACACTGCCGCAAGCTACCCCGGCGGCGACTACGCCCGTCGCTGAGGAAACCCCAGCACCCCCTGCTGCTGAAGTGACGCCAGCCCCGAGCACGCCGACCGCTGAGGAACCGCCTACTCCTCCTGCTGCTGAGGTGACTCCTGCTCCGACTACGCCTACCGTGGAGGAGGTGACTCCCGCTCCAGCCACGCCCACTGCAGAGGAGCCACCAGCCCCTCCTGCTGCTGAGGTTACCCCGGCTCCGTCAACCCCAACGAGCGAGGAGGAGACGCCATCAACCCCAACAAGCCAGGAAACGCCACCTTCTCCTGCTGCTGAGGTTACCCCGGCGCCGTCAACGCCAACGAGCGAGGAGGAGACACCATCAACACCAACGAGCGAGGAAACTACGACGGCCAAGACACCGTGCCCGACGCTGCCTCAGGCCACCCCGGCCGCCACAGGTTTGACTGACGAACCAACAGAAACCTCGACTGACACTTCGATGGATGAGTCGGGCGATGTCACGCCTGAGCCAACTACCCCGACAGGTGACGACGAGACGGAGGAGACTGAAGAATCTAGCTCTACAGAAGATGTTACTCCGGCACCTAGCACTCCATCAGATGATGAGACCACCACCGGAAGCGCCAAAACCCCGTGCCCGAAATTGCCGATCGCAGGTTCATCGTCTTCAGCAACACCCGCACCCACGTCGGTGGACGATGAAGATGGTTCGTCGTCGACGAAGACCGGAAAGACCCCGTGTCCTTCATTGCCCCAGCCCAGCGACAAAAGCTCCAAGACTCCGTGCCCGTCATTGCCGCAACCTTCGGCAAAACCCAAGGCAGGCACTCCGGACCAGTCCGTCCAACAACAACAGAGCTCCGGCAACTCCGCCGTCACGGAGCAGAGCTCCACAGCCCCCGACCGGATCGCTCCCGCACTTGCAGTGGTCGCTGTTTCAGCCGTCTACCTACTTCTTTAGAGCTGATCCGTTGCCAGACCAGCAACATGTCGTCAATGTGTGTGCGTCCGTTGTTCCGAGATGTTATTACTGCAGACAGAAATGCAGTAGAGCTCGTCGATACAGGAGGAAAAGATCGCCCAGCGCCATTTTTAAGCTAATCAACCATTTTTGTTTCGTTATCTTGGCTTGCGGTGAGATTCAGACAGCATTTCGCACTTCCGACCAGCCTCTTCGTCACCATCCTTGTTTGATCCTGTGGCTGGATTGCCCGTGCATTTCGGCGTTGCCAACACTTTTGGAGGCCACGGTCTGCTTTTATAGTCGAAGCCATTTTCCTCTTGACATGTGATCCTGGCACCAACCAACTTTCGTCTTTCAAGGAGGAACCGTGCGTATAGTGCTAAACTTCTGGAGGCACATTGTCAATGGCATGATCATTTAGGTATAATGTCCACTCCATCTTTCTTTACATGTAAAAAAGAAAGTTGGAGTTTTTTAAATTTTGTAAGCGAGCTACTGTACCTAACCTCATCCATAGCGGTTAAGTGGTAAATAGGAACCACCAGAATGCCCACACATCTGCTTTCCCGCACCCAAGTGTGCACCCGCTCGTCTCTGCAGAATGCGGCCCACGACGATATCGCCGGTGATGCCTGCTGTGCACGGCCATTCGACAATCTCCGCCCCCCACCCAGCGGCGCTGACACGTCGGAACGTCCGAAGCAAGACAGCAAAAGCAACATATGCGCGCGACGACCAAACTCGCGGTTCTGGCGGCGGCCTGCGTGGCGCTGAGCTCCAGCGGCGTAGGCGCCGACATCTCCTTCAGCACAACGGATCTGTCAGGGGCAGGTAACGCCGGCGTTGTCGCTTCGGACGCCGGTACTGGCAAGACGCCGTGCCCCTCACTGCCACAGGCGGCCGGCGTCGCTGGATCGACGACAACAGATACAGCGCCCCCAGCAGCTACGGAAGCGCCGGTTGCAACGGAAACCCCGGCGACAGAAGCCCCTATATCCACCGAAGCTCCGGCTGCAATAGAGGACCCTGCATTCACCGAATCACCAACAGCGACTGAGATGCCAGTAGCTACAGAGGCAGCAACAGAGGTGCCAGCAGCCATTACGACAGCCAAGACGCCGTGTCCGTCGCTCGCCCAGCCATCGCTTTCTAGCAGTTCTAGTGGCGAGTCCAGCGGCAATAGCAGCGGCAAGAGTCCTTGCCCTTCGTTACAGACAGCATCGACATCGTCAGACGGCTCTGTATCAGCACCCTGCCCGTCGCTAAAGGTGAAAACCCCTTGTCCGTCACTTTCTACGGCCTCCAAGTCGTCATCGGAAGACGCCGCTAGTGGCAGCAGCGATGCGGTGGAAGTAGTGATTTCAGGACTGACGGTGGCTGTGGTGTCGGCGTCGGCCTTGCTTCTGCTCTAGTCATCTCATCGGGTATGCGTTTATTGGTGTCGTCGTTGTCGATTGATGAATATGTGTGAATGCGCTACTGTATGGCATGTAGTACCGCTAGTGCTTGCCGTGCTAGGGAGAGCAGCAACCGAGTAATATAAAGATATTGCGTATTTTCTTCATTTTGGTTGGTGACTTATTCTCAGGAATCTGTACAACCACGAGGTATCAAGACTCTTGAGTCCACCACGATGCTGGAGGCTCCAAGTTCTGGAGCTAAAAATGCATCGATGAGCTGGCTCTTCCTTGCACCGCGAGGTTTGCAGCAGTCGATTCTGCCGATCCATATGGATAGCTGATCCTGGTGCCAGAAACCCGATGTCGTTCGTCGTTAAATGTTCATAACGATAGATACAGGTTATAGTTACATTGGTTTTTCGTCTCCATGAGTGCGCATTTCTATAGCATTTCTATAGCATGACCTCGCAGCCATTTTCACGGTGACGATGGTGGCGGCGTACAAGGCGAGTGAGAAGCGCTGGAAGCGCGCGACTGACGAGGATCTGTTACACGACGCGGCATTGCTGGACCCGCGCAACCTCAGCAAGGAGCAGCAGGCGAAAGTGCAGCGCATCGGCTCATGGAAATGGAACCCGGAGGACGAAGAGCGACCCGTACTTGCATTCGATGACTTTGGCGCCTCACATCGCGGCTTCTGCGTGATACCTAACGCTTTTGACGGCAAGACACAACTTCGTTTTGCCTACGCTTGCCTGTACGTGCAACCGCATCGACAACACACTTGCAATTGCGAGTGCTGATCAGTTTTTTTTGTTTAATTCTTCCAGGACCGAGTTCACGGAGGAACCACACACGACCAACATGCATCTGCAGAACCAGCAAGTACAAAATATTTGGCGTAAGGCGTGTGAGTCGCACCCACAAAACCCGACCGAGTCTCCTCTGCTCGCGAAACTTTGCTGGGCCGCCTCAGGATACCACTACGACTGGACCGCGAGGAAATACCATAAGGGCAGCTTTTCCCCCGTACCTGAGTTGCTGCAACAGCTTGGTGCAAAATGCGCTGCAGCATGTGGTATGACGCTGGCGGCCGAGGCGGTGATTGTCAACTATTACAAGACCAAGTCGGCCATGGGCGGTCATCTCGACGACGTCGAATACACGATGGATCATCCCGTGGTGTCGCTGTCGCTCGGTAGTAAGTGCGTTTTTCTCTTGGGCGGGCACACCAAGGATGAGCCACCGTTAGAGATTTTGCTACGAAGCGGCGATATCGCAATAATGGGCGGAGCATCCCGGACGTGCTACCACGGAGTGGCTCGCGTGCTGCCCACTCCGTTCAGCGTAGAGGACAAGGAACTCGACGCGCTTCTGCAGAGTGGCGGCAGTCGTGAGGAATACGAAGCCGTTCGCACGTATTTGAGCTCGCAACGCATCAACATCAACGTCCGGCAAGTGTACCCACTGGACCCTGCTGATGCGTCGTCCACAGATTGAGTAACTGCAGGCTGGATAATAGAGATCTACCAGTATGAATGCAGCCCGCCTCAATGTTACAGTTGGGAATCTGCACGCAATAACGGCGCTGCAAGTGAGTCAGTTGCAAACAAGCATCTACCTCTATCTGTTGTCACTGTTGATGATCCGTTTGGAGGGCTGTTGAAGTTGTTCACTTGATATATCTGTCGCTGCGTACTGGGGTTGCCAGTGCGGGCCAAGTGAGGTTGCGACTGTAAAATATGACCAGAGACTAATGGATGGTAAGCCACGTGCGTCATTTTCATGGTCGCCACCTTCTTGACTAGTACTACTGAAGTAAGTATACCTGAGTTCACGAAAACTAATGGTCGCTACAGTAAGTTCCACCAATTAGACCCTAACAATTCGGTACCACAGCCAAACTCAGATCGCGTCCGTTAAACTGATCATCAGCAAATGGTACCTGGCGCGCGCCTATGTGGCGTAAGCGCCTTCTCACGGTTTTCTTTGGGGCTGCTGGTCAATTTGCACCTTGTCCAGCGGACAAGCATTTGTGATAGGCAGCCCACACAAGTACAATGTTGTACATTCAAACATTGTCTCCGTGGTGAAAAGGGTCGCTGCATATTACACGCGCAGCCTGGGCCGGGCAGCGCAGCACGTGTATCTGTTTTCATTTTGTACAGTCGCGCCGTAACTGCTAACAACAACAGCAAACTGAAAGCTGCGATGAAAACAACCACCTTCTTCAGCACAATAAAAATGCTGGCAGACGGTTATCTGCAGCACTCAAGTCGATTTTGTCCTGAGCCGGAACGACCGACAATGAGTTATCGCTCCCGAATTGAAATGATAGTGCTTTTCATGAATCGGATACCAATTTGGTTTCGCAATTTTTAGAAACAAAAAGAGACCTTTCGCGAAACGAAACGAGACATAAGGAGCTGGCGCGCGTCTCTTGTCGCCACACCTTCGCGGAAGCCAAATCCCCAAATGATCCTGCCATTTCATTAGCCATTTTGCCCTGTGGGGCGCACGCCGCATCAGCCACATCAACGTCTTCTCATCAAGCAAGCATGGCCGAGCCTGCGCTAGCGCTGGATGAGGCTGCGCGGCTGGAACGCCGACGCAAGCAATGCCGTGTGAGCCAGCGGCGCTACCGCGACAAGAAGAGCTCGACCGAGTACAATCTCAAACTGGACATCAACAGTCTGCGCGAGAGCGTGCAGTCGCTCAAGGGTCTGCGCGAATTGCTGGAGACCAAGCTCTGGAGCTCCAAGCTCTCGCAGAATGCTGCTGTCCTCAAGGCTGTGGAGCAGTACTACGCCGTGTTTGAACAAGGCCTACACAACCCAGAGGCCGGCGGCGAGAATGTGCGCAAGTGCTTCGAGATGCAGCTGGGCTTCCTCCGCGTATTCCTACATCCGAATGTGACATTCGGCGACGCGCATGGACTGAGGGACCTGCTGGAGCAGTGGCACCGTTATACGCAATTCCACGCGTGGATCGAGACTGGTTTCGTGTCGGCCGACGTCTACGGCTCCACGGACTCGCCGGTCGTCGTGGCAAAAGGCACGCTCACGGTGCTGATGAACCGCGTGACGCTCGAGAAGATATTCCCGCGCGCGCTGGAGGAGCCGGAGCTTGCAACGCTGCTCATGAACAACGTGGTCGAGTACCGGACGGCCACCACCTTCTCGTTCAATGAACGCGGACAGGTCGAGCGCATGGAATGGGACGTGGATTTCCTCGACGGTATCAGCAATCTGTTCGGAAGTGCGATCGACGCGTCGCGAGTGCTGCAGGGCGCGCTGCTCAGAGAAGGTTCCAAACTCAGTGCGAGCGTAGAGGATGATACCTCGGACGGTCGGCGGCAGTGCAGCATGGTGGAGCGCGAGCTGGGGAAGGCCCGGCCGGGCGACGGGTCGCGAGCGAGCTTGAGCTACATCATGACCTGATTTGCTCGAATCTTGTTAGGGACGCGCAAGTTGTTAGTAAATCGTGTGTGGATGTGAAAAATTGTGACTGCCTTAATAACTTTAGGAAATGAATAACGTCGAAGTGCCATCTTAAAAATGCTACGTGCTTAGTGGTTTGACAAAACCGTCGGACGTGCTGATCAAAACATCAAAACGGTATCCTTCGTCAATGTGGTTGCTGGATTTCTATTCCTTACTTTGTTATTAGGCTAAAGGCTACTGCAAAAGCAAAGCTAGATCATCTACAGAAGACGTCCTAGGACATAACGAAGGGCAAACCAACTTGGTGACCCAGCCCCGCGCCGTTGTCGGCGTTACCGTGGGAGACTTGGCCGAGCTTACAGCAGTCCGAGATGAGTGCGCGCTGTAAGACACGCGAGGAAGCGTACGTGCTGCCCAAGCAATGGTTGATGCCAGCTAAGAAGTCGACGTCAAGGTCCTGACGCTCCACTTGCAAGCGTGAGTTGAACACGTAGGTGGTGGAGGTCGGGTACTCGATCTCGCGGCTGAGCAACACCTGTACAAGATCCTCGTTCGCCACAATGTGCGGGAACATGTTCTCAATGGTCGATCGGTTCATCCGTACAGCGAGCACTCCCTTCACCACGACAATAGGAGTTTCCTCAGTGCCGCAGACCTCGGCCGACAGCATACGCACGGACAAAGTGGCGTGGAACTGTGTGTACAAATGCCACTGATTCAGTACGGCCGACACACCGCGCGAATCGCCGAACTCTACGTCATCGTCCATGAAAGCCTTGACGAAGGTCACCTGCATGTCGAAGCATTTGCGAACATGATCGCCTCCAGCTTCGGGGTTGTGCATCCCATGCGAGAAGACAGTGTAGTACTTCTCGGCAGCCTTGACCGCGGCCCCGTCGCGGGCCAATCGACTGCTCCAGATCTTGGTCTCCAGTAGCTCCCGCATGCCCTGGAGGCGCTGCACATGCTCGCGCAGGTTGTTGACGTCCAGCTTTAGGTTGTACTCAGCCGAGCCCTGTTTGTCGCGGTAGCGCCGCTGGCTAACACGGCACTGGTGACGACGTCGCTCTCGGCGCTGCAGCGCCTCCTCCTCCTCGCGCATCATTTTTGCGGGCTTGTCAGGATTCTGCAACATCAACATGGTCGCTGGCATCACGGCGCTGGACTGGGACGTCGCCATTGCTTCGAGTTCGGGCTATTTCGAACTGTAGTGCGAGCATCCACGCTGCGCATGCGCTTCCTTCTCAATCCAACCGCAGGAGCTATTTCGACCTGCAGACCAGGACTCTACGAACGTAACGCCCGACCAGGTTCAAAACAAAAACGGTAATTTAAATTTCAGCTCACAATCTCACCATGTAATTTATGAAA